ACTCCTTCTCCAGTTTGGCTCAGACGACTCATAATCTAATTAACAGTCTTGCTACAGCGCTCAGGTAAAGCCATAAAACGGAGCCATATGTCTGCTGGTGCACTGCCGCGGTTGAAAATGTCTTCTTGGCTTTCTGTGGATAACCTTCAACAAGATTTTTGAAGCATGTCGGAGAAAGAGGGACCCTTTTAGTAATTTTACTGACTATCACGACGAGGAGGGTTAAACTTCATAGAAAATGACTGTACCTAAAATACTTCCCTGAGGAACTATGTTCAGAAATTACAGTTTTGTGGGTAGCATTTTTTTTTCCATCATCGTGCTAGGGGGCTCGATGGACATTCACCACAACAAGCTTGGCTACATGTAGTTACATGCGTTTGTCTGAGTGAAGCAGCATGTGACTCATTGCACAAGGTCATTTTCGGGTTGTGATCCCGAGGCATCACAGGTTGGGTACAAGTGTACTGACATCAAAAGTATCCACTAGAAAGCTCCCCACAAGGTGATAAGGATGCTAATTACAGACAAATAATTGGTACGCACCCTAAAAAAAACAAAACAAAACAAAAAAACCCAGCCTTTTTAAACATATAGACGCAATTGAAGATAACCTTCAGTAAACGACCTTGTAAAACATGACACATGCCGCCCACGTTTGATTTCTGACCACAAGCTCCCATTGTGACGGGAGGCAATCCATTTTGTGGGCCCTGATGGACCGTGCTGCCATTATTATCTGGAATATATTACACAAAACCCTGGCAAAGACTACCCTGAGATCAGACGCCGCGAATAATGAAAAAAAAAACAAAAACAAAAACAACCTTCGGCCAGTTTAGCATGCATGGCGGCGTGTGCGTCTGTCAGGGAATCCCTTGACAGAGCCGGCCAATGTCGGTGAGGGTGGAAGGAATGTGAGCTTCAGCTAAGTGAAGAGGCGGCAGTCTCTGCTACACACACACACACACACACACACACACACACACACACACACACACACACACACACACACACACACATACACTCTCTGTTGTGGTAGTTGGTAGAACGTATGTGTATCTTACTCATTAGATAAGAAGATTCAAGTACTGAATGATGAACAGCATATGAAAAAAGCCACTGATGTCGCTCACAGCGTCGATGTAAGTCTAGAAAAGAAATTATGTAGCCGTCAATAGCCCTTTCCCAATTTTGTTTTTGTAATTTTTACAAAAGTACTGTTGAGCTTGACATTTCGTGACACTTTTTCTCTGCTTTTTGATCAGAAACCGTTTTTTTTTTTTTTTTGTGAAACCAATCAATGTCCTGCTGCTGATTACTGAATAAAAAAAAAAAGCAGAAACAAACTTTTTTTCCCTCCTAGTCAACAAACACAATATTCGGTGGGTTTCGAAAGAGCCGTCGCAACGCTTTCAAGCGGCTGGCAGAGAATGCGTTAAGAAATGTTTTCTGCTGACGACATTTCCTCTGGCAAAAAAAAAAAAAAAAAATACCTGCCAAAAGTCTCCCTGGAATGTTTTGTGTTCTATGACTGAAGTGATTCATTGCGTATCTTCAAAGCATTCACCAAAGTTGTCAGCGCGGAGGTTTTCTCATCAAATTCCGGACTTTGCGACGCCATGCAGATGCAGAGCTATCAATGTATTTTTGGGGCATTTAGTGGCATCAATTGTTCAACCTGCTGGAGTCCAATGGATCAATATGTGGGCCCAGCATGTGTGCAGCAACCCCCCCCCCCTTCCCCCCCCAACGTCTT